TGGTTACGGAAAGTCGCTCGACGAGTGCGCGTTTCCCGACCTGGCCGGGCTGGACGTTCGAGTGGTCAGGCTCGGATCCTAGTGGAAAGGCCACCCGATTGTCGACGCATGTTTAGCACTCTAGCCGGAGTGCGGCTACGCTGGCATAGTACCCAACTGGACGAGATTAATACTCTTGAGCTGGTGCGCGCGGCGCAAAACGTAGACGTGCACAACGTGTTCATCAATGTCGAGACCCCTGTTCCGATGGTCAATTCCGCGAAGCAGGGGAGGCGTACCATTGCGACAACGTGCCGCGCGTGGGCCCTGTTATAGGGCGCGCGGAGTTCACAACAAGCTACTGCGAATGGCACTCCCCTCCCTGCCCCTCCTCGTTCCATGATTGTTGTGTTGAGTTCGATTGCACAGGGGCGATTACGTGGGCTCCAGGAACTAACCCAAACGTTGCTTCGCAACCCTGAGCGAATCGAACGATACGAGTTCCAGGTTGGGGATAAGGACCCGCACATGTTGTGGATGGTGGACCCCGTGAAGATAATGGCTAAATGACTTAGCATCCCTGCTCACGCTCCGAACCGCTGAACGATATCCTATGCGCCTATGTCTGCACTTTCCGATGTGTATCGAATGGTGCACGGCAGCGCGATCCCGAAGAACCTTAGAACACGACGGGAAGGTCAGGTCAACCATTATCATGTTCCCTGTGCTTATCCAACGGTCAAGGCAATGCGTTGGTGCGACAACGGTACCCCTCTCGTGGCAGACAAGCAAAAAGCGCGGCAAGACACTGCACTCATGTTTCTAGAATAGGTGCGCGTTTGCCAAATTCCCATCTCGCCGCTTATGCAACCACTCAAACCGTGCTACGATCTTTTCCGTTGGGATGGTCAATCCCGCATGAGAGCGTGGCATTGTTGAGGAGGGCATCTTGAATCTTGTCTCGCAGCATGCTCGTCTTTAGAAACCTTTAGGCGCTTACCATACATGCATTTGGCTCAGAGCCCCAATGGATACCCCTGGGCCCTCGTGGCTGATGCGGGACAAGCGTACGAGGAGATCCTCGTCGACATGATCCAGAGTTCCCTGGATCGGTTATGGCTGCGGTTGCCTACGTGTTCGTCAAAGGAAGCCTTCACGATCGTAGACAGTAGCCGTAGCTATGGATTCCTTGGGGGTAATACCAATGCTACAAGATGGGATCGCACTACCATTATGGTCCGTGGCCTAAGATGTGCTATCACTGGCTTTCTTGGGCTGAGATGCTTCAAGCTAATGGATGCTGTACGACACCAGTGCCAACACATACCCATCGGATGACCGATGACATGTTGCAATGCTGCATGCTGTTTTTTTGTCTGATCGTGCGTGGCTTTGTGACAAGCAGGCCACTGGAATGACAAGGAATGGCGCGAATCGAATTGTTGAGGACCTTCCCGTGGCTGCACGGACGAGGCGCCACAAGTGTCTCCGACTGCATGCAGAGCGAATGAAAGAGTGAATGTAACAATTGTTTGGTTCAACTGTGAGGGCGAACAAGGCGTAGAAACCCATACAATTACCCTGGCATTCCTCGAGGCGCAATTGCACGTAAATTATGAACACGGCCGAGGTGTTAGTTACACATTCAACGATTACCTCTCCAGGGACCCTAACAGCGGGAGTGCGGACATGGGCCAATCATGGTTTGTACGATTTTGACTTGGTGGCTCTGGCGTGCACGGGCATGCTATTGCATGTTGTATAACCTACCATCGAGTAATTATGAACACCAGATGGCGTAACATCATTCCCGCTGGCAAGCTGCACGAGATCGCGCGCGTCTGCGTAAGACTGGTCTACCGTACGACCTCCCACCCCCTTCCGCATCCCAGAGAAATATCGCTGCAATGCTTGGTCAAAGTATATTGAAGGTGAAGATATCGACCGCAGCAAATTCTCATGTGGGGCCCACTCCTGAGCAACCATGAACTGGCGTGGGAAGAGATCGTGCGGACCGCGCGGCAACAGAGGCGGTCCACGACCTCGGGCTCCACGTTTCTCTGACAACGGCGGGGGCCCACAGCATCAGGAAGGCTTCGCATCTATGGCTCAGGAAATTGACCCTTTCCTGGAGAACATCGGCGCGCTCGGTGAGACGTCCAGGCTTGGCACACCACTGACCCAACGGAACGGAGCTCAGAATTTGGGGGTCAGCCTGCTGTCCAATATGACGGTGCCACGATGATGGCGGCGGGATGAACGGCAGCAGGAGCACCAGCGGGAAGCAACACCCAACCAGCAATGGAGTTGGCGACGGCGCGTGCGCAAGACCTGGGGGGAGATCATAATCAGCGCGGGAAGCAGGATACCAGCGCGCAGCAGACAAGTAGTCACCTCAAAGATCTGGCATGCGCAAACTCAGCGTCACTTTCGAACTTCGAGGGGCAGCTGGAGCAGCCCCGAGACCTACAAGAAGCTGAAAGCATGCCTGGCATCGGCATGTGAACATCCAAGGCACGCAGGTCGCTACGCTGCGGACCGTCATCGAGGAGACGGGTGACTCTGTGCAGTCGTCGCGTGCCCTGCTGGAGCAGATGGTGACCGCGCCAGCCGCGGACTCCAGCGCTATGATTAGGTCGGGCCTGCCCCCCCCTACAGGGGGATGTCGGACGAAACATAAAACATACTCGAAAAGAAACACCCAACATTGTCAAACATACTAAAACAATTCGTCCCCATACTATTATTTGACTGTTGTTGAATATTTCCCCTGCAAAGGAACAGGCCCGACTTGACGTTATGACGGCGGGGCCTGCTCCCCCTGGCGCAGGCGGGGCGGGGGGCGCGCCCGTCGGGGGCGGTGGCGGACTTCCCCCCGCAGCGCATGGGCCGGCATGTGGACTCGGCGACCCGCGCGGACATGCTGGGCTATCTGGGACTGGGCTCGACGGGGGCTCATGTGACGACTCTTGCGACCACGATTGCGGCCAGTGGAAGACGAAGCTCAAGGTCCTCGGCAGCACAACAGCGGCGGTCAACGCGGTCTTCCATTAGCTCAAGGTTGGCGAGATTTTGCGGGGCCCACGGAAGATGAGGAGTGGCACAACAGTGCCCTTCAGAACATCCTGGTTCAGTGAGCCCAAGTCCGCCGCGGACCCACCTGACGTACCCTCTGGAGCTGCTAAGCCCACCTCCACCCAATCAACGGTCGTGTTTGTTATGCCGTTGCTTCCTCCCCTCGTTTCTGGCCAGAGCGGTTGGACAATTGCGTTGGTCATTCTCACTTGCGTGATCATTTGTGTGACCTCTGAAGGTTGTTTTTTTCGTGAGTGACCTCAGGCCGTTTGCAAGAGAAGGTGCCAAGAGGATGTCGAAGGAATAAACGATCTTTGTTCCCCTTGTGACGAGGAGAGTAGGCTTCCAACTTTTTGGGGGCGCCTCCTCGGGAATGACGGCGCCCGCCACATCCATGGCACATATCGCGAACACAACAATGCGGCTATTGCAGACCGGCCATCCTCTTTTGGCGTCCCGGATCTCGTGTTGAATGTCGGACAGGCCGCACTCCTTTCAGGTATTGCAACTGTGGCTCGAGGGCCTCGTTAGCTTGCCACTTCCCCCTAGAAGTACCCCTGGGCGCGAGGGCTTCGGCACTTGGCACTTGGACCGAGAGGAGCAGGTGACGCTTGCAGTGAACGCTGGGGCGGAGGACTCTCGCCTTGTCTGTTGTGCTGTGTTTACCACCCCTGCGTGGGCCAGCCGTGTGTATGTTTATGTGTGCGCATGTTAGTGTCATGATGAACAGATAGGCACGGAATGCTCTTACGAAATATCGCGCGGTCGTCTTGGGGAGCCGCTCTGAGAATTTTGCTGTGCAGGCGTTCAGAGGCCTTTGGGAGGTTGGACTCGCCATCACACGCCCTGCCTGCCTATGTATGTGCAGGCTTTGCTAGCACAGCACATGTACTCACATTCCAAATCAATTTGCTGTCAAGACATCTGTCTCAAGTTTGGGCTAGCGCTCAAGCCGACACGAGTCGGCACACACACAACATGGTTCCGAGACAGGCCTCGAGCAAAAATAGCGAACACTCATGCCACATTCACCTGTCAACGCCTCCCCCTCCCCCCAATGTTCAAAATTGGCAGTTGGTCTGATGAATTGCACTTCGACCGCAATTTCCTTCGCGCGTGACAACATGTGAGTTTGGGGGGGGAGGGAGAGTGTTCGGTAATTGTTTCCGCTACTGGATGGTTGCATGGGAGACACTCGATCTATGATCATTTCCGTTTCACTTCCAAACGTGTTTGTGTGTGTGCGTGTGCCTGTGTGCGCGCGTGCTCCAATGGGTTAAGGCGTCTCAAGTCCCGCCCGCACGCGCTTGTCCCGTGTTGCTCTGCTCGACTTGCTACGCCTCGCCGCTGCGCGCAAGGCCGCGATCGCCAAGAAGTGTGATTTTGTGTGTGCGTGTGTTCGTGTGTGTTTGTGTGCGTGTGTTTGCGTGTGCTTGTGCGTGTGCGTGAGCGTGAGCTTGTGCGGGTGCGTGCGCAAGTGCGAGTGGGTGTGAGTGTGGATGTGTGAATGTCTGTGTGTGCGCTGGCGGAGCGCAATGGACGGTGTTGGCCGGGAGGGGGGCTCGTCGTCAAAATGCAGGGGGGGGGTTCTCGGAAGGCTTCCTGGAAGGCAGGGCTTCCAAGCAACCCCCTGCCTCCTTGGAAGCCCTGCCCCCCCCCCTGCGCGCCGACAGGGGGCCACATGAGAACCCCACCCCCCCCTCAGAAATCGTGGCGGGTAGTTGTAGCGATTATAGTTTGACCGATCCCCATCCCCAGCGGCGTGGCCTGGGCCCCACTGGCCGATTTAACCCCCCTAGATGGGGATGTAGGCCGTTGCCTTCGGGTTTCGAGGGGTGTATCCCCAACTGGGGGGGTAATTTGGTGGGGGGTCTCGAAGGGGATGGGGGTGGGGATGGGGATCGGCAGAACGATACCGAGGTAGGGTTCGCACGTGGCCCCCTGGCCGATGCACCTCTCCGGAGTGACACGCTCCGGGCCGCACCGCGGCGGCGGCGCGGGCGGCACGGCGGCTCCTCACCGGCTTGGGTATGCGATCGCCTGGGGCGCGCACCGGGGGGGGGGGGGGGGCGGCTGCTCGGGCCGCGGGCCCGCGGGGAAGCGCGGGCACGGCCTCGCGGGCGGGAGCCGCGCCCAGAGCCACGGCCTCGCGGCGTGGACTCCTCGGCCGCGGCCCCGTGGATGCGGGGCGCCTCTGCGCGGCTGCCCCGCGCGGATCGTGTCCACGGGATGGCGTATCCATGGGATCGCGCCGCAACGTCCGGAGCGCCAGGGCACGAGCATGGGCATGTTGACACGTTCGTTACCCGCGACAGGCGAGCCCATGCTGCTGGCATCTCGAGGGGATGACGCTCGAGGCTCCTCGACAAACATCGGCGTCTGGAGGCCGCCACCATCCTCGTATGACGCGATGTCCTCCGCCTCTCATGCGCTCTCTCTCTCTCTCTCTCTCTTCGTCTCTTTTTTCCATATGTCCCACTCTTTGTTTGTTGTTTCTCTCTCTCTCTTTCTCTCTCTCTCTCTCTTTTTCTCTTTTGTTTTCCCTATATCTCTCTCTATACCTTTGCTCCCCCTACCCCACTCAACTCCCCACCAAACTCCCCGTGAACAATCCGAAGTGTGCCTCCAAGCCTTCGCACACACACACACACAGTTTCGGGGAACGCCTAGCCTCCACCTCGTCGTCCTTTTAACTGTCCCTTTCCTCCTCCCAGCCCAGGGAAATTCCTGACAAGACCACCGGAACAATTCCCAGAACAGTTCGGGGAGCGCACATGAATGGAGCAGCCGCGTTCGTTTTACAATGGCGTCATTGTTGGTCGACCTACGGCGGTTCGCTGCCGAATGTGCCGAGAGCAGCCGCTCCGCACAACTGATCGTGCTTATCCATATTTCGGCTCTAGAGCATCCAACCACTCGATCCATGGGACACCCCAGATACGATGCTGTCTGCTGGGAGCCTCGCGCACTTTATCACGAGGCCTCCGTCGACGCGTAAACCACGTAGCAACGTGGCCCACGAACGTGCGAAAACGTGTGCACCCCGGGCAACCGCGACTGTGCGACTTTCCGATCTGGATGAAAAACAGGTATTGCAGTCCCGCCATACCCGAGATCTGTTCATAATTACCTACCTTCGGTTGGGCGTGGCCCTGCACATCGTGGCACCCTTTCACAAACGTTCGGTGATTGATTCCGTCTGCCACGTTCTCGCATTTGTATTGTTATCATCCGACGCGCGTCGAAAGCGCTCATGGTTTTTCCCCTAAGGAGAGCGTCAACGGGTAAACCATTGAGTTATCAGTCCCCGACGTCTCGCATTCTGACGATTGAAACCGTCCACACCCCAAAGACGGCTCAAGCGAGCACCAGGGCGGTCATTGCCCAGAAAAGCCCCCGAAACCCAACGCGTCTTCTGAAGGCGCCAAACTGCCCAGGGGCGCCCGAAGATGGCCCAAGAGAACCCCATGACGGCCGAGAGAGTTGCAGGTGGCCCCAGAAAAAAACCCAAAAGGCAAAGACGGAACCCCAAGACTGCCCCAGAGAGCCTTTACTCATTGTTGCCCCAGCGGCTTCCCCAACGGATGGGGCAACGCGATGGGGCAACGCGAAATCCACTGGTGCGCCCGCACTTTCGCTCGACAGTTCACGACGCAGGCGCTTCCGAAGGCAAGGGGAGATGGTGACTCGCCGCGGGCGTCTTCAATCCACCACCGTGCCCCCCCTGGTAGTTTGAACGGCAATCGCCATTCCATGCTGAGAACAAGTGTAACGGGAGAAAAAGAGATATGAGAGAATACGATGGCGATGCGATAAGCGGCGGCGAAGGTTTGTTTTTCTTACCCGGCGCCGCCGATTGCGAGCGGTGCCCGGCGCTAGCCAATCCAGCAAATAGGGCGGCGCAGCTTTGAACCAGAGCGGCGGCGGCCGAACAGTACATATATATATATATATACATACATACATCTGTATATACACATGAAATAAATTATTTCGGTGGGTATCCCCAAAGTCGAGGGGGGGAAAGTGCTCGGCCATCGCCACACGGCACATTGGTCCGAGGCACCGCTGAAACTTAAGCAAAAAAGATCGGTAGCCGAAAGCTTCGACCACCGAAACAACGCAGAAAAACGGAAGCGCGCGATGCCTGGTTACGTTTCCATGACACAGGCTGCCCAGCACCAAGTTGCGTTGGGCAGAGGCAAGCTGCACAATGCAGCATGGGAAGGTCAGACCAGGGGGGCGGCCCTGAAATCACAAGCACAAACAGATGAGGGCCGACCCCAAACTGGCGCAGAGAACTGTGGGCGAGGTCACGACTCCGCGACAACAAGGCGCAATGCGCGCGGTCGAGATCCCGCGACAACAAGGCGCAAGAGAAGCGCGGATACGCGCCCGTCTTTGAACAGTCGCGGGCCTGCGAAAGCTCCGCGCGAGCGCAGCAACAGGCCCCCCCCCGCCCCCCTCCCCTCGCCATGCACTAAACGGCTGCAGCTGAGTGACCCGCCAGACTTCTAGGGCCATCAAGGCGAGCGAGCGCCAGAAGCAATCGGCCGCCAGAGATGGGGGGCCGGCGGCCCCGACGCGGCGCGCGCGGTCTGACTCCGCGCGCGTAGCTCTTGTAGCCGACCATGACTTGCAGAAGCAGGTCGCTGTCGATGGCACCCTTGGCGTGGCCATCCGCCGCCGCATGAAGGGCGTCGCGCCACTGCGCGTTGTTGCTGGCGCCGAAATCTGAGAATTCTCTGATCCAGCTTGCACGCCCCGGCGTTGCATCCTCCGCGCGTGGCGCGCAATCTTTACATGGCACAGATTTTCATACTGGCCTGGCGCCATTCGCGAGGGGCGCTTGAACACAGCGCCGCTGCACTCACAGAGGCGCTCGAGCTCGGAAGGGGCTCGGGGGCAACCTGGTGGAATCAAGCAGAGTGACCAAAACGGCGTCACAAGCGCCAGACTGCGAACAGCGGCAAGTGCAGCGGCGAAGCTGGACCTGCATTGAAGATGGCGACATGCGCAGAGGCTGCGGCAATTAACGACATCCTCTATGTTAGCTGTGCTACCGCAACGCAGCGGGGTGCATCCGCGAAGGCCGTGACCTTCGGTCTCGTCGCTCTATTCACCGGTAAGCGTCCGATGCCCTGAAATCGCCGCGCAGGTCTACGGCGCCATCAGGGGGCATGGCTTGGTAGATGAGATCCCCCGGGTCCCTGCGACAATTTGCGGGCGCGGGCGTTCGCGCGCCTCGCCCGTGCGTCTGCGTCGGCCCCTGGGATGGCTGCACAGGAATAACGTAACGCGACGCAGACTTGGGCATGCGAAGAATGCGGAGGTCTCCCCCGCGCAGAATGGCAAGTTAAGAACGTCGCGCGCCTTTGTTTCCGGGAACGCTCCGACAAGGCCAGGGTGTGCAATCCAGCGAAATTGTCTGACGTACTTGCCCTGATTCACGACGGTATCCTCTTTCTCCGTCTTGGCGTTTCCCACTGCGCAATGCGCGCGGGCATGCTTGCTCAACTCGTGCTTGCCAAAGGCGTCGTTAACTCGTTTGACGCGAACGTCTTTGTGGGCGGGACCCCTCGCCGCGCACGTTGACGTCGCCCGCGTGCTCGGCTGCGAGCAGGCCCTCGGCCCTCGGCGGCCTCGAACTCCCGATCGCAGGGCGTAGCTTCGAGGCCGACATTCTGCGCGGCCCCTTTGTCCCACTGCGCTTCTTGGGGGAAGGCTCGAGGGGGGCCCCTGTCCCCTGCGCCGGGCTGGAGGCGTTCCGGGCGGCGCGGCGACTCGTCGCGGCCCTCGAAGCCGGGCAGGGCGCGAAGCGCGGCGGCGATGGAAGGACGAGAACGAAACGCGCAATGCGCTCCCGTTCGCCCGCGGCTTCGGCCAGTTCCCTGCCTGCATGGCCTTCGAAGAAAGCCTCGGCCAAGATCCAACGATGGCGACGCGCCGCCCGACTTGCCGACGCGCGCCCGGCAGCGCGCGGCGCCGTTCCTGGAAATGCAATCACGGAGAATGCACCTTGGTCCATGAAGCCCCATAATACAAGGCAAGGTCGCACAATCTCCCCATTGAGTATACATGCCTCGATATCGCCCGGGACCTCGGCGAAGCGCCAGTGGACCGCGCGCGTTTTGTATTGAGCCCAGAGTGTGGATGATACCTTCTTCGGGATGTTGAGGATGTCCTGCTCGGCAAGCAGCGAGCCGCCCAGGGACCACGAAAAAAAACCCTCTCCAACTGCTCTCCAAGGTGCGCGAGCTCCCGACCGCATCCACCGAAACAGCAGCCAGAAAACGGGTTGCCTTCGGCCAACGAGCAGACCGCGCGGCCGCCTGCAGCGAAAGCAACGCTACAACGGACCCCGCCATCAAGGCCAAGGGAGTAAGCTCTACCCAAACAACCAATGCCAAGGCAAATGTGTCGATCAAGACAGTCGAGCGCCCAGTTAATGAGAAAAAAGGCGGTCGATCGGTGGCATAGCCCACACCCTGGCAGCTCATGGTGAAGAAAATCCCAGATCGCAGAGAGGAAGCCCAAAGTAAACTCAAAGACGCGCGCCAACCGCACGCCGAAGAACCTGGGCGGACCCGCAACGGGATTCGGGATGCGCCTGGGCCGCTGCAGCTGCTTCGAGATCAGACCCAGATGCGCCAGGTGAACAAGGATATCCAGAACCTCAACCAAACTCTCAGATCCAGCTCCACAATCCTGCACACAGGGAGGGTACCTGCGAACATGCAGGACAACGACGGCATCGCGGGGGGGCGCTCAGCAGCGGGGGGGGGGGCAGTCGACAAAGGGAACCTGGCGAATGGGCTCGATCTGACCAACGAAACTGACAACCAGCGTTCAGGACATGTCACGCCACTGCGCCTGCCACAGCAAACCTCTGTCCCCGTGGCAAGCAAGCTGATCGCGGATTAGCCCAGGATTCGAAGTCCCTGCACCATTTCCACTGGGTGCCTGACTGGCCCAAGAAATACCCGGCCAGCGACAACGGGAAAGCGTCTCGCTGCCACCGCCACGTGGGAGACCGTCAC